AACAAGACATTGCAGTGTGGCTGGTGGGATTTCAGCACAGCAGAAGGGCCCTCTAGAAATACGAACCAACTTCTCTAACTGGAAGGAAGAACTAAATGAGAAAGGAAACAACTTTTCAGGACACAGCAGGACCCCTTGGGGCTTATATGTGCCTGCTGCAGCACAGGTGTGGTCTGAGGGCCAAACGTGTGCCTCTGTACCACAACCACAATTTACTCAGCATGGGTTAGGAGATCTGAATTACCTGGGCACAGTAGCTGTGCTGCATTTGCTCTTGAGGAGCACTTTCCTCTTCTACAGCGAAGGTCAGGTCATAATAGACTTCCTGACAGTAATGAATGGAGACAGGAGTTTTACCATCTGGAAACTTGATGGCAAGGATAGACAGGACTGGCTGGGTTTTTGCCGCCCCAAGCGGCGGGGTGGGGTGGGGGTGGGGGGGGGGGGGTTGGGCCGCGATTGCAATTGCGATCGGCAGCAGGGGAAGCCACTCCAGCAGCAGCTCCACTGCGCCGCTTTCTTCTTCGGCGGTAATTTGGCGGCAGGTGAATTGCCCGCCGCCGAATTGCCACCGAACAGCCCGATGTGCCGCCCCTTCCCCTTGGCCGCCCCAAGCACCTGCTTGCTGGGCTGGTGCCTGGAGCCGCCCCTGAGGATAGAGGATCCACTCTGCCTAGAGTCACTAAAAAGAGTCTAACTAAACCTTTGACATTTGGGGGGGCGGGGGGGGGGGGGGGGGGAGGAGAAGAGAGATCTTTTCCTTCTATTAGAGTTTAAAGCTCCTGAAAAATGTCAGCTTGGCAACTCTGGAGGCTGGTCTTACTGATCTGTCTACAGAACAGACACAGGCAGGAGTAATGCTAATGTGCATTAACCCTCCACTAAAAACGGTTAAAAAACTGCAGAGACCCAAATTCATATTTTGAACCCAGTTCAATGAGCTTTTCTACTATCCTTATTCCCCCCCGGGGGATGTTTAGTCAAACGCAACTGGGTTTTCATCACTTACTAGGCCCAGAGCACAACAATGCAGCCCCTCGTGCTGCACCAACACTTCCTTCCTGTTATGGACAACAGCAGTGACACGTCTCTGGCCGTTTACAGCACTGAACCTATGAATAAAAAGAATGCAAAGCATGTTTTTCTCAAGCATTTCTCTGTCACTGTATTGGAGAGTCTAGGGTTGAAAGTATATTGTTAAAGAATTTAGGCGAGATGTATTAATGGAGCAGCCACCCATCACACTTTCATAGAAATGAGAATACCCATTTTGCCCACAATATATCAACACAGCTTTGTTAAGTACAGTCTAGTTTTAAGTGTTTGGATTACCACAGCTTCCTTTGGGAAATTCACCAACATTTTTAATGAGATGTAAACTCAACAAAAGAGAACTGTTTTTCACTTTATATCCTTAAATCTCCAGATGAATTGGTTAAGATTTTACCTTTGGTATTCCAGAACTGTTAATTCACTGAGTTGTTCAAGAAACAAATTCTTATCTGTCATTGTCATAATCACCAACTCAAAGAGACCCAGAATATTGGCTGTCTGGGCAGGTGCACACTGAAATCACATGCAACCATCAAGAGCATCTCTCATATTACCTCTGAAATGTGCTATATTGGTGTGACTGGAACAGGAGTCTTGCTGGGTTAGAGACAAGAACATAGGCTGTGGATCACTCACTGCTTTGATATCAAGCTAACCAAAAGTTTACAGACATCTCTAGAGCAGAATACTGCAAAGGGTATTACGTTTAACTTGAAGGTTAGGTTATTCCATGGATATTAGCTAGAGTATATGGAAAGTTTAGGAACATGAAGTAAAAAGTGTTGGAATGTGACAAAGGCAGAGCATCAGTTAAGGACCCTGTAACCTCATACCTCTGAACTTCACCCATTCAAACATGGAAGGACTGGAGTGTGAAGAGTTTGGAGTGGATTATTTAAATGTGCTATATTTGTCCTTTCTGGTTCTTAATATGTCTCTCATTATCACCCTTTACTCAGTGTAGTCAAAAATGCTAATGTAAACACTCCACCAGCCCAGAGGTATGCGAAAGTCAAAGTTATATAAAATGAGGCAGCTGAAATTACATTAGAAGGAAAAATCAGAAGCAAAAACAAAAAAAGCACAATAAAAAGATAGGAAAATCAGAAGCAAAGAATACAGAAGAAATTTATTGAAAGCACAAGTACAGACTGGCCAATAACTGCTTTCTACAATCTGAACAGTAAATAATAGATCTACAGAAAGGTACAAAGTTTGTTATAAAATAGTTTTAATTTCAATTCTTTTTGCATTACAAACATTCTTTGAAAGAGGCAATGGAATTTTGATGTTATGTGTAGTCACCCTCCCACAATACTGAACCTGTAATAGCTGTTATCAAAATATACAATACATCTGTTCACCATAAAAAACTGGGTTTTGCTGCCCCCTCATGTCTTACAACAGGTATAAAAAAATTATAAATATTTACACCCTTTTGTTACTCATTCTTTACATGCAAACATAGGGATCCAAAGGATAAACCCACAGTTGTCTGGGTTCTGGGGTCACCTCAATTCATTTGCTTGCATCTTACAAAATATATAGTCTGTTTGCTGACTGATCCAATGTTAGCAGCTAGCAAACAGGTTTCATTCCAATAAGCCTCTTCCCAGTTTCTTGGGTGAGGTTGATTGAATGCATTTAAAAATTAAACTGCAGCTGTTCCACTTGGGTTGCGCATGGATCTCTCTTCAAGGTAGAATGCTGCCTGTGGCATGTTCAAGGGTACACATTCAATAGCTAGTGTCCCCTAGCTACAAGGGAAATTGTTTTACTGTTTTTGATTTGAGGGAAGGGAGATGAAGCAAATTAACTCTGGTTGTTAGCAATGACTAGAACGACTGTTAATTTGCTCTATTGAGTGCAAGATGCTGGCCAAGGAAATCTGGAGCTTTTCAGATAAGGAGATCATAAGACTTTTCTGTAACAAGCTTATAAGGATCTATGGTAATTGGAGCCGGCATCTACATGTTAGCGGAGCCCTTTTTCAACTCGAAACTGTGGGCAACACTATTGTTTCATTTAAGATGGCTTCTAACTCCTTTCAGCCACAAGCAAGGAGAAGATGGAGATAAGGCAGGCCAGTACTACCAAGCTCATGCCAGCAACCCAAGCTGAACCCTCACTCAGACATTACACACTTCTCCAGCATAGTTCACAACCACAAGAGCTCAGAGAGGAACTAAGAAAGGTTAAGACTTTTCCAACCCCTCAGTGACAGGCAAGTCAGGAACTTCCATGCTAGGCAAGGAAAACATAACTTGCAACACAAAGAGAGACAATTAAAAAAACAAACTTTGGTCCACTATTTGCAGAAAAACCCTGAAAAAAGTATAAGATTATTGTTATTTTTGCATCCAAACAGGTTGCATGTTAAAGGGAAATGTAAGGCAACATCGGATTATACAAAATAGAAGGCAGAACGGCACGGGAAAGAGTTGTAAGCCAGAGGAATGGTATTTCAGTTTAACAGTGGTTTTGTCATTGGGGAAAAAACCAACTTGCCGCATTCTACTTCTTTTAACAAATTTTCTTCCTATAACTTAAAAAAATCTGGGCTTATAGGTTTTAAAAAAAAAAAAAAAGTAAAAACTTTAGCCTGGTCCATTTACTCAATCGTAATCAGAAATCACTGGTGTTCACTACTTTGAACACCTTTTGCTTCTTAAAAAAGCTCTGCTTAGCTTAACATGTTGTATCTGTTTCATTACATTACTCATCCTCAGTCATGACCTCAGCCTGAAACTAAATTCCTGCCCTACAGTTTCAATTACAAAAAAAGAATAAAATAAGTACAGTATACAAGGGTAATACCAACAAAAGGAGTAAATTTAGATTACGTTTATATCATCTTATTGATCTATAAAAAGTTACTTAAACTATTTCTTTTGCATATAAAGAGATTAGAATATTTGGTCAACTGGAAATATTGCTAGGTACAGATGACAGCAACTGCATCAAAAAGTATAATACAAGGATTAAAACAAAAGCTCAAACGCTGAAGACATGCTACAAGAATGATGGCGGAGCTACACTGGTCTTGTTAATTGTCAAATTAGGGGCATGAAGGTGACTCAGATAAACACCTTTCTAACCATGGGATATCCAATAATTCTTCAAATCCTAGTCAAGTGTTTAGATTTATGTACAATTCAGACAAGCTCATACTGATTTGTTTTCTTCACAAGTTTCCAACAGTGGTTAATTTTATAGCTTGATCAAGGCTCTTGTGAAGAGGGAGCCTGTCACCTTGCTACCAACATTGGAATATAATGAGGCCATAGGAATGTTTCCCCATGCAGACCTTTCTGCTTAGTTTGAATGAAATAAACCAAGCATAATTAACTCCCACCTAGAAGACTATAGAGATGGAGGTAAAACCACATGCGGACTAGAAAAGTGGCAAGAAGATACATGATACTATGCAGATTATTAGACATTTCATGGACAGTGGGACAATCAATTGCCTAAGGAATTAAAGCCCAATATTTTCTTTATCCACTCTGCCAGCTTCACTTGTCCTTCATTACGAGTTGATCCAACAACCAGAACTCACTTGTTCTCCTCAACTCCCCCAATCTAATCTTTACACTTCAGATGATGTTCTTCCCCCAATAAAAAGAATTTAAGGCACAGGATAGCAGATGCGCAGCTTAGAAAACATTACCCTAAAACCCTTTGCACTGGGTGGGTTAGGATCTCCTGCAAGATCCGGACTCAAAGGCGCTAATGTGAATTCACACAGTGGTTTCTGGGTCTTCCAAGGCTTGCATGGGTAAAGAAAATAAAAAAGGCATCAATGTGAAACCTGATAAGCTTGTTAGGATCCGTTTTTTTTGTTGGTTTGTTTTTTTTTTTTTTTTTTGAGGGGGACGCGACGGAGGGAGGAAGAGGAAAATTCCCAGAGCAGTTTCCAAAGTGTAAACTTTAACTTGTGATTTTTTTTTGTTTGAACAGCCATCAAGATTGTTATCCCATCACCGCAAGGTTAGCAATATGAATTAGATTTAATTTTTTTAAAAACCGGTAAACTGATTTCTCTTTAAAAAAATAAAATCTCTGGTCTTTAAGGTCACTTCAGCTGCATTTTTAAAGTGGCTTTTTTTTTTTTCTGGAATGATGGAAGTTGTCTCCTAGCATTCAGCCCTTTAAGGTCAGGGCTGAACCCATGAGGTTTTAGTCAGGTCCATTCTGTCTCATGCCCTCCAAAGCTTTAAATGGTGGACTTTGAGAAGGACACACGCAGGTGGTGATTCTCACCAAGGTCATGATTATGGAGCTCGATGAGTGACTGAATGGCTTCTTCCACAGAGCCCATCTGGATTAGAGCCATCTTACGGTCCTTCCTGCCAAGACAAGTCAGTCAGTTTTAGGTCACGTTTGGTACTGTGTCTGTATAGCCCCACTCTCGCTGACTTAATAGAAGTTTTCTTGTCTGATGCTGAAAGCCAAACATATATCTCAGCAGGCAAAACTGCTCATTAAAAGGTTTATTCCTTTCCTCCCACAGGACTGAGTAGTCTCTACGATGAAAACACGCATCCAAGCCACCAACCCAGTCATCTTAGACTAAATTTCATCTCCAGCACTCTATGTGCACTTCTTATCCTTGCCCCCATTCCCTAACCCAGAGATATCCAGGAATGACAATTCCATACAACCAATAATTCAGCCAAGCTAAATTTCTGGTCTGAGACAGTTACTATCCAGTGCTTTTAGCATCTTCAAATTTGTGGAGAACTCACTGGTAGATTTCATTTAGCTTTACCAGTTTTCTCCCAAGAGGACAGTTTTAAAATCTTAGACTTACTGGAAGAATTTGAATCCCTTCACCATCCCACCATTGCTTGAGAACAGCATCTTAAGGTCTTCTTCAGTTATCGAAGGTCTAAAAAAGTCAAGAAATTATAGTCAGTTTTCCAGTCAACTGGTATGAACTAGGAATTTATGTCTTAACTATACATTTTACGAGTTCCTTTCCTGAACTCTCTTTTACTGTCGTTCTTGCACTGGCATCTAAGATGTCAGACTGTAGAACAATGGATAAGCATTTCTTCTTGCTACCAGTGGAATATGGCATTCCCCTTACTCCTGATGAGTGAGTCATTACTTTACACTATGAGAAGCATTCTGGTAACATTGCTGGAATTTAGAATTGCAAAGTTTTGATGCTTGTCTTGCATATGCATCCTTTTCAGAGTGACTATGTGCTCCTGCCTTGCCATTATTACACATTTTCCTCCCTCTGGAAATATTTCCCCTGAAATGCTGCAACATTCTGAATATCAGAAGTGAGCCACTAAGGTTTGCCATGGGCAGAAAAACACCCCCAAAATAAAAGCAGACAAGCAACCATAGATCCAAAAACATGACTTATGTAGGAGACTCTCCCCCCAAGATTTTCAGAAAAACTGACCTCTAGGTTATTATAATTTGTCTTATTGCCACCACTAAGCAGTTCACAGGAGCACTGGGATTTAGCTGTAACTCTCTATTTTTTATTAAAAAACCCCAAAAGTTACGAACCTATTCTGTAACTGTTCTTTGAGATGTGTTGCCCATGTCCATTCCGCTTCAATTGTGTGCATGGCCAGTGCATCAGTGTTAGATATTTTCCCCTTAGCAGTACCCAACAGGGCAGAGCATGCACCTTCTGCTGCCTCGTGCTGCTGCGTGATGGCATAAAAGGGCATAGCTGACACCTGACTCCCTCAGTTCTTTAGACGGGAAGGAGGGTGGGTGGTGGAATAGACATGTGCAACATCTCAAACAACAACAATTACAGAACGCATTAGTATCAGTTTTCTTCTTGGAAGTGATGCATATCTCTATTCTACTTCAGGGTACTCACTAGCTGTTCAATCTGGAGGTGGGATCAGAGTCTCTCTGAAAGATGACAGACTATATATGCAAATCTGGCACCATCTCTAGACTGCTGAGAGATGGTACAATGAGAAGCAGAAATATGTATTGAAGACCAAATTGCAGCTCTACAAACGTCCAGAACAAGCAGTTGAGCTAGAAAGGCTGCGTGTGATTTTGCTGAATGTGCTAGCACCTTGTTCGGTGGAGTTACATCAGCCATGTCATGTCACAAATGTATACAGGAGGAAGTCCACAACAAAATTCTTTGGGATGAGACTGGAAGGCCCTTCATCCTGTCCACAACCACCACAAACGTGAGGATAAGCTAAACTGTTTAGGCCTATCCAAGTGAAATGCTAATGCTCTCCTAACATTCTTCTCATCCTTATGAGCATGAGGTTCAGGAAAGAGTTGGTAAGTATATTGCGTGATTGATGTGGAAGTGAGAAAATCTGGATGAGGACAAAGGTATACCCTCCTGTCCTTGCAGAAGGCGGTCTACAATGGGTCAGATACCAGGGCTCTCAATTCTCCAACTCTCCATGCAGAGGTAACTGTTACCAAAAAGGCTATCTTCACTGACAGATGAAGCAACGAACAGGTAGCCAGAGGTTCAAAGGATGGACCCATTGGTTTTTGTTAACACCAGGTTTAAGTCTCCAGGGGGAATAGGGCTGTCTAGTTGGGGATATAATCAGCCCAGACTCTTCAAAAACCTTCGTGACGTGGGTTTGGAGAAAAGTAAGTGACTACCAAGAGGTTATAAAGCAGAGATAGCAGCAAGCTGCACCCTAATAATACCAAGCCATGGCTTCCTAAAAGCAGACTAATGGGGAAGCTCTGCTGGATACCAGGGGTGAAAATCCCTTGGGAGAGTGACTGCATACAACTGTGACATAAGATTCCACTTCCAACTTGAACTATGAACTGGAGTCATCTGAGCAAGCAGGCACGGTGCCTCTCTGAACCAAGGAGTTGTGCCGGCAGTCTGGAGAGGATGGCATTAAGGAAATCATAGGTGGCTTGCCATTCAACAGCACAGTACAAGAGGTACCAGAGTGGGCAGAGGTGCCCACGGTACTTGGCACTGAACCCAAGGGGCTGACAGATCCACGAGTGTCTGTTGGCACCAAGCAAAATGATTCTTGAACCACTGGCAAAGCCAGCGCCAAGAAACTTAGACTGGGTGCCATGGTGTATGTCTCAGACATTGATGGCACTGGGAGATTCTCTTGCTGCTGTAGCAGCAAAGAGGAGACAGACTATAGCACCACTCAACAGGAAGGTGCTCCTTTAGAGATTGGTCTCCATGGCATCAGTACCCATGCTGGAGTTGAAGACTCTGCCGGAGGTGCACTGATATATGCACCAGTGTCTCAGCACCAAGCACGCACTACTCTCCTTTCCAGCTAGTTCAGTGGACTTTCATACTGGGGACCTTAATTTCCTGGATGCCAAATACCAGGCAGTCCTCCTTTTTCAGTACTGGAGAAGGAGACTGGCACAGAGACTCTGCCATGACTGGAGGAGTGCTGCTAACTGAAGCAGAGGCATTTGATGCCCACCCCAAAGGGAAAGGTTACGAAGATGGAAACAGGGTTCCTTCCATAAAGAGGTGCTTTGATGTACTGTCTAGTCCTTTTTAGTTCTGGGCTTAAAGTATACGGTGCAGATGTGGCACCCGCCCTGGTGTGTGCTTCTCCTAGACACTTCAGGCATCAGCCTCTTGCATCTTTCAAGATTTGAAGCCTGGGGACCAAAGCATATCATGGCACCGTGTGTTGGTACCTCAAACGGTCAAGAACCAGGAGTTTACACTAAGTACACTAGAACAAAAAGGAAATCACTAGTGTAGTTTATAGTCCTACTGTAGTTCTATCAACTATTAACGAGTACTAACTATATACAATAGAAATGCTAAAAAAGAGGGAAACAGAAGCAAGGTAGAATGCTCCAACTGCCACATGTGGTAAGAAGGAACTGAGAGGGGGTCGGAGGTAGTTCTGCCTTTTATACCACCAAGCAGGTATGCGAGGCAGAAGAGGGCGCATGTGCCACTCCAAAGGTACTACTAGGGGGAAAAAATCTGACAAGTTCACTGGACGCATACACACCTGAAGTTGGACATGTGCAAATCACTCTAAGAAGTGCTACCAATATCAAATTATTTTCTAAAAGATCAACCATAGAAGCACAAACCTAATCAAGGACTGATGACTATGGGGACCAACTTGGACAGCTGGTGTCTTCAGGTTTCTGGAAGAAATGGACCTTAGAACTAGAACTGCTGTGGGGAAATCTAGATGAGTTGACATAATGCAAGTTAGGCATGTGCAAGAGTTGACTGTCCCCGTTTTAAGATGAATGTGGCCAAACTCCACTATACCTAGAGAATGCAGATCTTAAATTAATGCTCCACAGAACCTGGTACCCAATATCCTCTCCACTTGCAAAGTGTGTCCCTTTTTCAGAGCATATGTACATCCCTCACATGGGTACTTACGGGATATTGGAGAGGTGAAGGGTAGCAGAAGGCGGGAAGATATTCTGGAAGTTTTTGGAGCCTGGTTTCTTGAAACGATGTAGAGGAGAGTTTCCATAGTCTTTAGTCAATCCTTGGTCTTCCTGTCCCTCACGGGGAAGCTGTACTGTCTGATGCTTGGACAGGGTGATACGGATGGGTTTCCCATTAAGCTTCTGACCATTTAAGTGACTCATTGCTACAACAATTAAAAATAGCGTAAGGGGAACAGAAGTTGAAAGACTAGTTAAAGCTGACGTTTAACCCAAACCTAGAATTTCAATCAAATCCACTTCCTTATACAGACTGTCCAAACACCAAGACACCTATCATTATTACTATTTATTAACCTGCACCTTTTTATATTTTGCCCTCTCTCATTTTACAATTAGCAGATTGTCTGGCATAAGAATATCTACTTGAGTGTAACACCAAACCCCAGCCTACTATGTAGGCAAGCAATTCAGCGCATGGATACTTATTCTGCACCTTTTGAAGAGCAACATTAGTATTGACTATCACTCTTCCATGGAGGAGGTGTTTTTGATTTATTGCTAACTTGATTGCCATAACAATATGATCCTTAGTTGGATGTTGAACATTTAAACAAGCAGCAGTGCTATGAAAGACTACTATGCTACCAGAGCGATGCAACAGAACATGCTTACCAAGCTGGGCCTGGTTTCCATCAGCCATTTGAACTAAGGCATTCTCCTTCTTATTAAATAAGATCTTCACCCTTTGCACATCACCATAGACTCCTTCAGAAAGTGAGGAGACAAGGAAAAAAAGTCTTTAGGCAGGAAAAGAAAAGTCTCATCCAACTTTATAACAAATCAATTCAACACCACAATCATCCACAACCAGACTGATCTCATTCCAACCAAGTTGACTTATTCTGCTCTACTTAGGGGGAGAAACTTATATACAGCAGAATAATAATGGAACAATACATTAAAGAAAACAGATACTGGGTTTCAGCAAAAAGAAAAAAAATCTAACTGTCAAAGGATTGAACTGGACAATTTAGCATGCTACCACAAATTTTAAACTCCTATAAAAAGACATGCAAAGCAATAAACCATGCATAACTGAACATAAAAATAAAGGCAAACTAAACTAAACAGCAAACTATGTAACCATGTAAAAAAAATGAAATTATGCATTCAAAAATGGCAAACTGCAAACTGTACATTTTTGAAGTATCAAAAAAGTAATCTCAAATAAATGAAAAACAAGGTAATAAAAAGTGTGAATAATAACATACCGAAAAGAATAAAGAGGCATTGGGGTGTAACTCTCTTTAGAGAACAGCAGAGCAAGGCAGCGGAGGGACAGGGAAGAGGTAAGGAATCGAAGGGGAGAGCGAGGTTGCACAAATCGTCCACAACGAGGAAGGGCAGAGTCCCCGCAGGAAATGGCGAAATTGGTTGATGGATGATGAAGTTTTCAAGATGGTTAATATTGAAGGGCAGGTTGGTTTCCGAAGAGCAGGGTTTTTTGGAGGGGGGATTTTTTTTATTTTATTTTTTTGTTTCAAGCAACAACAGGAAGCAGAAGTACCGTGCAGTCAGTTGGCAAAGAAATTCCGGATCAGGGGAAGAAAAAAAAATTCAGGGATGGGGGAGAAAAGAAAAAGTAGCAAAAAACACAGGTCAGTAAATACATAAGGAATATGTAGTGTTCCATCAGTCAGATTTACAGATTTCTACATACAATACTTGTTTTACAGGAATAGTTAATAGGTTTTACCTAGTGGAACACAATGATAAAGAAAAGCATTTTTACTTAAGATATACATAGAAGGTAAGAGACTGTATCACTGCAGAGTGACTTCTAGAACGATAACATTAATGATATCCCAACTGTCCTTCTCAAAGCAATGGTTCAAGACTTTTTTGGCCTCTAAAAGAGGCTGAAACCTGTACTAACGGTCAAACTAAAAACAGCGTGACAACACTCTGAAGTATCTGCTTAACATGGGAATGTTTAGTGGAGATGATTCGTGTTGCACACTTCACTGCAACTAAACTAAAGGAGTGCAGTCTCGACATGAATCATTGCTTCCAAAGCCAAAGATTAACTGGAATAACTGCTGCACCACTGCTAACTATATATCAGAATGAATTGCTAAAGGAGAAGTGTCTGCTGTAAGGGGACACTACCACAGGTACTGGAGGGGAACTGAGATTTCCACATACTCAACACATTAATGAAGCAAGTCTCTTACTGCAGAGGTCAGTGTGCCAATTCTCATCAGCAAGGATAGTAAGCAGGAGGAGCCTGTCCTCCCAGGGCACAATGATAATTCAACCTGCAGGCAAACACCAGCACACAGTCTACAATAAACATGGAAACTCAATGCAAATGGGAGAAATCTGGACTTCTCCCTACTTATCCCACTTTAGCTCTTAGGATTTAGAAAGAAATTTCACATATTACTAGAGGGAGAGAGTCACTCCAGGGAAATACGGTCTCTTAACTCTCTAGTTGTTGCATAGGTAAGTTTCTAAAATACTGATTACACAAGCAGTGAAAAAAGTTTAAGTCTGTTAGTTCACTATAGGTATCAAAGTCTCTCTAACCCAAAGACAAGCTGGATGGATAGTGAAGAGGTCATCAAAAAATGCAAGGCATGACGTAATTGCTTAATTCCTACATTCGGCAAAAACGTTTGTTCACTCTGTTCAGAAACGGCTCTTTAGAAGCCTAGTCAGGTTACAAAAATTTAATCAAAATTCCAAATTTTTAATGCCTATACAGAAAAATGGATTATGCTGTGCCTGTCATTGACACCTGAGCATAACACAACATCTGGAATCAAAGTGCACCTAATTTCACAATATTAATCTGAAAATTATAATGCCAGCCCTTTGCCAGTTAAGGGGCTCTCCATTTGTTTTGTTTAGGAAGTCAGTGTTAACTCCTGAAGCATCATAAGAAGAATTTCCACTCTAGGGACAAGATCTAGCCTGTAATCAGAGCACCCTGACAGTGCCACTGGCATTATCTCATGCCCCGAAGAAAACCGTAATGATAGTCAGGTGAAAAGAATAATCTGAAATCTGATAGATTAAATTTGTTAATCAATGAATTAAATATTCTGATTATTCCTTATCTCATCCAGACTTCTTTTGAAGCAAAAGAGGTTTTACAGTTACTTTGACATGACTGATAAAAGTTTTATAATTACACGTAGTAGGAATTAAGTTTTATGGGCAATCTTACCAGATATAGTAAAGCATTATTTTTCAGGCAATATAGACTTATCTTCTAATGCACACAAACTGAAATATAGTCTACACTTTCAATCCAACAAGCAGCCAAAAGTTGACTTAATTCTTACCAAATGATCTTTTATATTTCATCCTTTATTAGGATTGTTCCAATTTTACTTGCCTTCATTTAAAAAAAAAAAACCAAATATTTTCAACTCTGAGAAAAGTTAAATGGAATTGAAAATGTAAATTTGTGAGTTAAGAGCATAAATAAAGAAAAACTTCAAGGAATCTTGGAAAGGAAAAAAATACATGTGCGAGCGAGCACATGGCAGAGGGAACACTGCAGAGGTACAATGAAGCCAAGCTGGCGGGGGTCAAGACATTAAACAGAAAGAGTAGAGGGCAGAATGAACTCTCTCTGTAGTTCTGAATTAATGTATAAAATTAGAACATGCCAAGGAAGGAAGGGAGGGACTTTGCTATTCTGTGACCCAAATCACACAAGATCCATGGGAGTGGATGGGAGATTGTAAAAAAACAACAACAAGGGAGGGACACACTCTGTAGCTTTATGGGACCAGAGCAGAGAGGCAACACCCTTGGCTATCAACCAAGGAAGAGCGAAGATTTCAATTTAAAAGATAGACCTTCCCATTTCCCTTTAGTGGCTAGAGTATTGATCTGCTTTGAGATTTAAGACTGGCAGAGCACATTTCATCTGCTTTTCTAGTTTTGCCGTTTCCTTTAGGACACAGTAAGATTTCACTTTCAGTAAGTTCCACCACAATCTGTGTTCAGAAAGTGAAAGCAGAGGTAACTGGAAGGAGAAAAAAAAAGTGAAATTACAACTCCACTAACCTCAGGGTTCAGATTGCTAACCAGCAGAACGGAGTTCCCTGCCCCAGTGAGGCCGGGAATGCCCATCCGTCCTGCTGCAGCCGCTGCAGCTGCTGCTGATGGGATAGCCAAAGGAGCAAGTGCTCCATGAACATTTGGAACTGACAAGCCTGGAAATTAAAGAATATTAGCCAGTAAAGAAATTAACAGCACGTACTCTAATGTGTCTGCTGCACTAGAAGGGAGCGTTTCAAACCCCACCAATCACAGTCCAAAAGCATTTACTTTAATAATGACAAGTGCCTCCAATTCTGATACTACTGATCGGTTCCTCTAACAGTGTATTTCGCTCTCTTGTGGTGCCGGCTGCATGACAGATGCCTCTGGATGTGATCTGGCTGGTTTTAATATTTTACATGTTCCACAGGCTGCAGAATTGTATGAGTGCAAAGCCTCAATTCTGTGGGTGCAGGAAGGGTACTACAAGCAGTGCATTTGTAACACTATTCCAACCAATGCATGCTACAAGTGCTTCATTCAGTTACCATGCATGCAATGAAAACAAATATTATACACTCCTACCAGTTATTCATTACTCAAACTGAGAAAGGATTAATTTTATGTACAGGCATATGGTGCTCATTGTAGGTACGTGATGCTCACAATATCAAACATACATCACAAAGTCTTTAAAGATACATCTATACTGGAAAAAAAAAAACACCTGTGTAGGAGCAAGACTCAGTGCCTGGGTCGACTGTAGCTTGTGCTACAAGGCTAAAAATAGAGATGTTCTCCCTCAGGCTGGAGCCTGAGCTCTGAGACGCAGCCCCCTCGCCAGATTTTGGAGCCAGGGACAGCTGACCCAGGCTCTGAGACTGTCGAGGTTTGTTTGTTTTTTTACAGCACAGACTCCTTTCAATTTAGAGCTTTCCATCTTTAAGTACTGATAGAGCTACTGGTTGATTTCTTTCATAAATGATTAAAAACATCTATGGGGCATATGTACAACCTCCTTAGAGGGATGACACATTAAAGAGGAATTGATGGCCCGACAGACCACCTGGTTCATGACTAAATTTTTCCATAGACATCTCAAATTCCATTTAGCTGTGCTGTTTCTACAGTTTATTGGTAACTCATTCCATAGTTTACTATAGTAAAAAGGAGCCAACCTAGTGCTTAGCCTACTATTTGAAGTTCAATACAAGTATTTACTACCCAAACACTGAGAAGGGTTTGAGAATGACATTTATTAAAATTGGCACTTCAGTCATATATGCATCATTTTGATATCGGCAATGAGCCCTGAAGTTCATTAGGCTGTCTATTTACCACACTTAAGTTTAAATATTAACTTTATTCAATTAAAATTATTAAAACAGAATGGAAAGTGGTTTCCAGTTTCAGAAGAAGCTTCCATGTAAGTGCTATAAAGTTAAAATTCTAGTGCCACTAACATACCAAATTTGCTACGCTTGGTAGAGAGTTCAGAAACAGATGTAATTATCTTTATTTTCAAAATACTACTCTCATGACTACTATTTGTGTCTTGCCTTCTTTCCCCTCCCACTACGTTGATTACTTCATTCACTACAGCCACACTTGTCCATGTAGATGGAAGATACTGAAGTCCTTGAAGCCATTTCCCCATTTTGTCTACTTATTACAGGACCATCTCATTCTATACCCTGTAATCAGCACACAGACTTAACAGTTCAGAGGGAATTAATATTTATTTTTCTAACCGAATGATCTTGAGACAACTTGGGTTGAAGTGGCTGTTCAGTGACAAAACGTTTCAAAAGGCACTGCTCTAGCAATGGCCAGCAATTGCAAGGCAACCTAAGGAATTCAAGTTTAATGTTTGAAATACAGTACCTGCTTGAGGAATTGCAAAGGCAGGAGGGAAGCCAGCTCCTGCATATGGAGAGGCAGAAATTATTCCTGGAGCTCCTGTGAAAGAAAGAGTAAGACAGTTAAGTCTATGAATCTAATTCCAATAGACAAGACAACCCCACTTCAGGACAGCCAGTTTGTCTCGTCACATGTCTTGAAATGTATGTAACGGAGGACAGACTAAGCTCCTAGACACATCACAAAATTAGAACTGTCTCTACAATCCAATAAAGCTACTAAACATTTCTTTTAAGAGAGTGTCACCACTGAATGCCAAGAACCAGTTTCCTATTCCAAGTTTAGCTTTGAAGACACTTTCCTGCTTTGAAGCAGCAATTAAAAACGGTTCTCTCTATCTACTTTGCACTTTTGAAAAGCCTGCTACTTTTTCCTATGTCATGTCAGTTTCAGTATAACACCATTCTCAAAGAGCCAGGGATATAACTAGTAATACCAGTCACTCCAAATCATTGACAGAACAGCAGGTGGCACTAACAGCACAGCAAATGGACAAGCATCTGCAAGGATTCTTGGTAAAGAGAAGCGAGATGGCTTATCAGAGATGCATGGTCTTTTTTTTTTTAGTACAACCATATTAGTGTTCCATGTTATTAGCTTAAGACTTATATGCCACCAAAGAGACTAAATGGAGATTAAATTGACTGATCCAATGCAGAATAATCTGTTGGTTAAGCAGTAAATCCAACTTTGGATACAAGAAGTCTTGGTTACCGCACAAATCAAACTGGCAGGAAAAAAAGACTCACCCCCATAGACAGTATTTGAAACTCTTCTGAATGGAGGTAAGGAGCTGTTGCTAAAAATGCATTCATGGGTTAATGCCAACATTCCGCATTGCGAAATGTAGTTTCAGAGCCAACAGTTAATTTCACTATAGAGGGGGTCATTATGAAATGAAAAGGAGGAACCAGATGTACTCCACTAAAGATTGATACTTAGTATTGTTCAGGGAACAACAAAACATCTCATTCTGTACAGAAAGTGGTTTGAATCAACAGTGCAATGAGCAATTATTATTTGTGAGGTGTCAACACTCAGATACCTTCACTACTTGACTCAAGTTCTGAATGTTGAAGCCCACAATACACAGACTTTTAGCAAGAAGTCAATATATTCTTAGAGGGGCTTTCTTACCAAAAGCAGCTGCCATGGTTTGATCAAGAGAGGGCTGGCTATCCCCAGAAGGTAAATCTGGTCGTGTGTAATCTCTGCTCTTATCATTGTTGTATTTAACATTGAGGCTTGTGAGTTTGGAGAAGTCGATGCGCAACGTGCAACAGGCATTGTAGATATTCTGCCCATCTAAAGACTGCAGAAAAACAAACCAGAGCTCTTTTACCTTGTCAAAGGTACCTTTATGCTAAAGAATAAATCTGATTAACTTGATAGTTATTCAGACATCTTAAAGCTGTAAGAATAAGCGCAAACAGCTTGCTTAGATAACATGCTATAAAATTATTTAACAAGATCCTGACACTGACTTTGTGTTAAAATTTCACTTTCAATGCACTTTTATTGGTGAAAGTCTCTCCCAATTACACACACAAAACCTCAGTGAAACAGTTGCACATGTGTAACAGAGCAGAATTTGACCCTGTACTATTATAAACATTTCCATGTGACAGAAGCAAGACACAGCTGTTCCTAGATCTGTTGAAACCCTTTCTTTTACAAGTCATCCCTTAACGAGTTTAGGTGTGTGGAGCTGCCAGTATACTCACCAGTTTGGCATGCTGAGCACTCATAGGGTCAGCATATTGTAACAGGGCCTGGAACTGGTTGTTCTTGGTGAATGTAATTATTTTCAGCACTGTGCCAAACTTGGAAAAAATCTGCAAGATAAAGTTTGCATACCATGTCATCTCACGTTTCTAATAGTTGTTTTCTCTTTGTATCTCCGCTTTTCACAATAAGAAACTGCAAATAAAGCCACTTTCATCTTTTAATCTAATTTTTATTAAGACCAGAATGGAAAAGTAACGTAGGAAATAGGGTGTTAAAACATATTTCTCAACTATGTTCTGATTCTGTTTAATGAATGGCTTGTGGATCTCTGCAAAGGCTTACTGAATTTGAATTTCCAAAGCTGTATTATGCATGATTTTAGCTTTCCTGTGTAAAAAAACTTTAGTACGATAATGCTGAAACCCTGCTAAGAGAAATACTTTAGTAGTTTCCCTGAAGAGTTATTTACTTCCACTGGAGTTAAAGATGTTTAAGCAAAGGCATTTTCCTGTTTTGTTAGGTTAAAAAACTGGTAACTAATTTGTATCTTTGTCTTGCAGTCAAGGTGACTAATACCATGTATGGTAAACAAACAGTTTAATATGGATTCTTCACAAAAGAGACCTGAATGCTTCCTCCAATGAATAGAAACATCTATGACAGTTTTGTACGTGCCACTGCACGCATGCTTACCAACATGAGAAAAATATTATGCATGCATAACTAGCTACCTTTTAAAAGATACAATTAGGTCCTTTCCCTTTGTTTCTGAATCACGACCAGCTACTATTTTGAAGTGTGGCTCTTCTCGAATGGCTAGCCAACTACAAAAGCAGTTTCTCCTCCTTTGGTGTTCACACCTCAACTGCTAGAAGAGGGCCTCACCCTCCCTGATTGAACTAACCTCATTATCTCCAGACTGATTCTTGCCTGCATATTTATACCTGCCTCTGGAATTTTCCATTACATGCGTCTGACGAAGTGGGTATTCACCCACGAAAGCTTATGCTCCAATACATCTGTTAGTCTATAAGGTACCACAGGACTCTTTGTAGCTCTTCTCAAAATTACTTTAAACTCAACTTCTAGCTGGATAACTTGTGCTGTTAAAGCATGTGTTGTAGTATTTGCACTTAGTGTATTTTTAAATGAGGGTTTGAAGGAAGAGGATGCTTCACATACAAAAATCAAGCTTTGCATTTTAAACGGAAAAGACACTGAACAGAGCAAAATTATTGTCCCCAGTGCCCTTTGCAATTAAAAAAAACTAGTGTACCACAAGTGCAACACAAGCATAAGTTTAAAATAGAAACAAATTTTTACTCTTGTGCAACTAAACCAGGCTAATTTCTTTGTTATGGTTGACAGCATCTATAAGAATTTAAATGTGGCACATTTTAGTAGCATTAGATGTAATGCCCATCAACTAAAGTTTCCTGGTTTAAGCCATGACACTATTTCACTGACAAACTCCCTAACTTTACCAGTAGTCTCATTGAGACAGTTTTGCCCAGTGTAGTCTGCCTTACCGCTGCCTACACTTCGAAGTTTTCCTAGACAGAATTTTTTGCTTCACTGCATGAAGGATGCTCTTATGTTTATTGGGCCACAAGTCTTGAACGCCTATCACCCCAACAGACTTCACAGGACTAGATTTCAGGTGGGGAGTGAACACTAGCAAATTAATACAATGCAATCCAATACTGTGAATGTGACTTGGCAATTAAAAATGAGAGGATACTACAGGAAGTGCTATTAACTGAAATGCCTCTATATTTAATATGTGTCAAATACTTCGTCATTGACTATTCAGCTTTAAAAACAGCTGGCAATGTGAAAATTTTGATGTGCCAGCCAACAGTTTATCTGGATTCTCTGAGATGCTTGTGTGTTTTACATTGCTAAAACACATTTATGTATTACTGTAAATGTACATGGTGCGTTACAGCTGTAAACATTCCCGGATGCAAGGACTTAACCTAAGACAAAGGAGAAAAAAACTGAAGGGATGATCACATGAAGGAGGTTTTGGATAAAGCAACACTGCTCCATACAAACAGCTGTTGCCATTTCTTCCATATTGATCTGCAAGAGGCAATTTGAGCATGATCTCACCTGATGCAGGACATCCAGAGTGACAGGATAGAAGAGATTTTCCACAATGATCCTCAAGACAGGGCTCTGACCAGCCATTGCCATTCCTGCATCCACTGCAGCAGCAGAGGCTGACAGTGCCAGGTTTCCAGACTGAACAGAGTTCACTGCTTGCAGAGCTGCCTGGGCCCGCTGTGGAAAGAAACATCCTGTGAGGTTAATACTACTGCAGGTAGAAGTACTCAAGTTTAATTTTTTTGTTGCAAGTTTCCCACTTGGAAACTACCATAGAACACAACACTGATCACCACAATTGGAGACTAGGAGTTTGTATAAGGAAACTTACAACTAAGAGCCTGTTCATGTAACAGTACATTTCAAAGTTTCTGGCAGTGGTTGCCCACTTCAGAGCCAACAAGAGCATTGCAACATGAAAATGCAAACTAGAAGTTCACACGCATGAATTGCTTATAGGAAAAGACAGCTAGAGTTCATACTTGCTATGATCCCGTTACTAGTGATAGCTTCCCCTCCACCCACCCTCCCAAAAGCCTAAACCGAGTGATCTTGTTCAACATTTGTTGATGCAAGGTCTGTGTTATTCCATAATAAAGAACTTCAGGCTGGGCACGCCCACACCCTAGATGAAGAGTCTGGATTACTAGTATAATTACTTGGAACCACGCCAAACAAGCAGCACTGGTAACATTACACATTTCGTTTTATAACTGTTATTAGGGACATGCTAGAAACACATGGAACAGGAGTGAGGAAAACAGAAAAGGCATGGAGACAGAACTATCCTAAAAGTAACACCACGACACACTGGGGCTTCACCCTTCTAAATGTGCAAAGAATACTCCCTCATCCCCAGGACTGAGAATTAAACTAGAATTAAGGTTCTTTAGTTATGGTGTTTGCACGTGTCTTCTGCTGTAAAGTAATACAACAACTGGCAAGTCAGAGCTGAGCTTTTGACAAGCTATAGAAACTGACAAAACAATGATTAATGAGCAACCTTTTTTTTAAACTATTTAGGAAGTTCAAACAAGTTTACAAATCCTTGATGTTTTATTTAAGGACAGTGAAGTTAAAAGAAACTTGAAAAAAATACTTTCATAAAATGGAGAAAGTCTCCCTTTGTGAGGTTCCTGTTCTGAGACTGTTTATAGAACACACTGGAAATTGGAATGTGCACATTACTATTTAATCAGATACCTGGGCTCTCAGAATCACATCTATGTTCACTTTACTTAAGAACATAAGAATGGCCATACTGAGTCAGACCAATGGTGCATCTAACCCTATATCCTGGCTTCTGACAGCAGTCCATGCCAGATGCTTCAGAGGGAATGACCAGGACAATTTCAAAATGATCCATCCCCTGTCATCCAGTCCCAGCTTCTGGCAGTCAGAGATTTAGGGACACCTAGAAATGGGATTACATCTCTGACCATCTTGGCTAATAACCATTGATGGACTTATCCTCCAGGAACTTATCTAATTCTTTTTTGAACTAAGTGATAATTTTGGCCTTCACAACATCCCCTGGCAACGAGATTCACATTGTGCAAAGGAATATTTCCTTATGTGTGTTTTAAACCTGCTGTCTATTAATGTCATTGGGTGACCTCTGGTTCTTGCATTATGTGAAGGGGTAAACAGCACTTCCTTATTTACTTTCTCCATACCAGTCATGATTTTATAGACCTCTATCATATCTCCACCGGTAATGTCTTTTCCATGCTGAACAATCCTACTCTTTTTAATCTCTCCTCAAATGGAAGTTGTTCCTCACCCTTAATCATTTTTGTTTCGCTTCTCTGTGCTTTTTCCAATTCTAATATATCTTTATTTTTTTTAGATGTGCAACTAGAACTGCATGCAGTATTCAGGGTGCGGACATACCATGGATTTATATAGTGACATTATGATACTTATTGCCTCATCTATCCCTTTCCTAACAGTTCTTAACATTGTTCATTATTTTGACTGCAGCTGCAGCCTGAGCAGATGGATTTAAAGAACTATCCACAATGACTCCAAGATCTTTCTTGAGTGATAACAGCTAACTTAGTCCCCATCCTTTAGTATGTATAACTGGGATTATGTTTTCCAATGTGCATTACTCTGCATTTATCAATGCTGAATTTCACCTGCCATTCTGTTACCAGTCACATTCTCTGCAGTGAAGATCAATGCAAAGAATTCATCTGGCTTCTCCTCAAGAGCCTTGTCTTCCTTGAGTGCTCCTTTAGCACCTCAATCACTCAGTGGTCCCACTGATTGTTTGGCAGGCTTCCTGCTTCTGATGTTCTTAAAAATTTTTCCTGTTTGTGTGTCTTGCTAAATGCTCTGCAAATTCTTTTTTGGCCTACCTAATTATATGTTTACACTTGATTTGCCGGAGTTTATGTTCCTTTCTATACTCCTCAGTAGGATCTGACTTCCAATTTTTTAAAGGAAGACTGTCTCTAACCTCCTCTTTTACATGGTGGCATTTGTTTGGTCCTCTTGCTTTTTTTTATTGGGGGGGGGGGGGGGGGAGATACATTTAGTTTAAGCTTCTATTATGGTGCTTAAATAGTTTCCATGCAGCTTGCAGGCATTTCATTCATGACTTTTCCTTTTAACTAACTTCCTAATTTTTGTGCGGTTCCCCTTTTTTGAAGTTATATTTGACTATGCTTTCTTTCACATACAGTGCCACGCCCTCACCAGCATGACCTACTCTGTCATTCCTATATATTTTGTACCCTGGTATTACCATGTCCTGTTGATCATCATTGTTCCGAGTTTTTTGTGATGCCTATTATATCAATATCCTCATTTAATATCAGGCACTCAAGTTTACCCATCTTAGTATTTAGACTTCTGGCATTTGTATGCAAGCACTTAAATTTGTCAATATTTAGGTATCTGTCTTTATGTGATATATTTACTAGGATATAGATAGTCTCCTTTAATAAATCCTCACCTAAGGGATATCTGAATTGTGTGCACCTCCACATCTGTCTGTTTCCCCCAGCCCTTAGTTTAGTCTCCTCTATGATTGGCGGCATATAAAATTAGAACAATCTGATTCTGTTTTGGTTTAGCCTTCCTGTAAAGGTTCCTCCTTTCCCAAAAGTTCCCCAGTTGCTAATAAACCTAAATCTCTCCTTTGAACATCATCTCATCTATGCATTGAGGCCCTGCAGTTCTGCTTGTCTAACTGGCCCTGAGTGTGGAATTGGAAGCATTTCAGAAAATGCTACCATGTTCTTCACCCCCTATCATTTCAACTGATAATTTTAGCAGTTCATCTCCCATAGAATGCAGAAATGAATAGTTAACAGCATTAGCTACCTGAGAGCTGCACCCCCAAGCTTTCTAGATTGCAAAAGTTATTAATTTCTAGTTCTACCGGTTTAAGTTAGCAACAGAAAATTATCAGAAAGTGGAGGAAAAAGCAAGAGGGCAATCAAAAACATGTGATTCTAAGGTCCAATTTTTTGCAATCTACCAGGACTAGAAGTGATTATGTAAGACTACTGGAGACCTGTCCTGTTCAGTCAAGTTATCATGCCTTGGAGGCTGTCATGTCAGCCTCAGTCTAGGGTCGTGTTCACAGTAGGATATAAAGGTGGGATAGCATGTTAGTAGATAAGGACTAGCAGTGCTTTAGCATTAATCCAGGACTGAATTTATCCAGCTTGAGCCTCAAATCAGCATAATTTTCAATCCCTATCCCATATAATGGTGCTTAAATAATACACAGTATAAAATTAATAAATGTAGCCCTTTCAGATCATTGAGCCACAGCATTAGTGGAGCATCAGGACCAACAATGAAACCAAACGGATAGTTAAGAATGGCCACAGTGGGTCACACCAATGGTCCATCCAGCTTTTTACCCTGTCTCTGACAGTGGACAATGCCCGATGATTTAGAGCAGTGATCTCCAACCTTTTTACGCCCCCAAGATCACTTTTTGAATTTAAGGGCAAGCCATGACCTCCTCCGCCCCTTCCCCAAAGCCCCACTCACTCCATCCTCCCCTCTCTCCATTGCTTGCTCTCCCCCACCCTCACTCACTTTCACTAGGCAGGAGCCGGGGAGGGAGTGTGGGCTCTGGGCTGGGGCCGAGGGGGTCGCAGTGTGGGAGGGGGCTCCAGGCTGAGCCTGAGCCAGGGTGTTGGGGTACAGGAGGGGGTGAGGGGTGCAAGCTCTGGCAGGAACTTTGGGTGCAGGATGCTGGCTCTGGGTTGGGGTGGGGCTTGGGGTGCAGGAGGGGATTCAGAGTGCTGGCTCCGGGCAGGGGTGCGGCCTCCCACCAGGTGGCACTTACCGTGGGCAGGCTTCCTGCCTGCCCCGGCCCCATGCCGCTCCCAGAAGGGGCCAACGCGCCCCTGTGGCTCCTGGGGGGGAGGGGGGAACACATGGCTCCGCGCACTGCCCCCGCAGCTCCTACTGGCCACAGTTCCCTGTTCCCGGCCAATAGGAGCTGCGGGGTCGGTGCTTGCAGGCAGGAGCAGCGCACTGAGACACCTGCCCCTCCCCCCCTCAATATGGGGGCCACACTGGCCACTCCCGGGAGTGGTGTGGGGCCGTGGCAGGCAGGGAACCTGCCTTAGCAGCAGCCCCACTACACCACCAGAGATCGCGATCAACTGGGAGAGTCTCTAGGATTGACCAGTCGATCATGATCGACCGGTTGGTGACCACTGCTTTAGAGGGAACGAACATAAAGAGGTTACCCACCCAGTGCAGTAACTGTAGTTCAAGATGTGTCCACCTATCGGTGCTCCATTTCAGATGCGCATATGCACCTGTGACTGGAGAGTTTCATTAAGTGTCTGTTCAGCCCATGGATGAGCCAGTGATATTCCTGTGCCCCACATGAAGGCTATATCAGGCTGTGCAGGCGAACCACCCCCGGGTTCCTTCTCCAATGCCGAGGCTCAGAAGCAAACTCCGAACAAAGGGGAAGGAGGGCAAGTAGTGGAGCACCCACAGGGACACATCTCAAAGAACTATGGTTACTGCAAAGGGTGAGTAACCTTTCTTTCTTTCTTTCTTTCGAGTAGTGTCAATATGGGTGCTCCATTTGAGGTGACTCCCGAGCAGTATCCAATCAGGAAGAGGGTGCTTTGGAATCAAGTCCATTACAGAGGAAAGAACCACATTGTCAACTTCTGTCTCAGATCTGGAGGCATCGAGTAACGCAGAGTGTCTGGAGAAGGTATGTACCAAAGATCATGTAGCAGCTCTGCAGATTGTGATTTTGTGGAGTGAGCAGACAAGATTCCAGAAGATGGAATGCTAGCAACACTATCTATATAATAAGCCCTGAAATCCATTTTGATAGCCTCTGGTTAGAAACAGCAGAGCCTTTTGATCTGTCTGCAAACAAAACGAACAGCCTACGGGATTTACTAAATGGTTTAGTCCTATATAGATAGAAAGATAATGGCCTTCTGATATCTAGAGTATGGAGCACTGTCTCCATGTTGGATTTGTGAGGTTTTTGGAAAGAAAATTGGTAGGTAAATGATCTGATTCAGATGAAACTCTGAAGACACTTTAGGAAGGCCCCGGGGATGCAGATAAGGACACTAGCCATGTAGAAAATTGTGAAAGGAGGGTCTGCCATAAAGGCCCCAGTCTTTCTGAATCAACGGGGTGAAGGTAATAGCCACTAGGAAGGCTAGTTTAAGAAAAGGAACCTCTGCCCCTACACTGCGAAGAACCTTCCACCAGTCTAGGGAACGCTTCATCAGCTGGGAAACTGACACCTGTTTCTCTAGGCTGTGTTTGTCTGGCGAGTAAATTGATCCAAGTCACCCCTGGAAACAGTAAAGGTATACCCTCGCATGTTCTGTCTCAATGGTATAAACTACCACATGACTGAAGAGTTGAAGACTGTTTATGACTGAAGTCTGGGGGGCTCCCTTGAATAATTCTGACAAGGTCTGATAATGTCACAAGCCTGTCCATGGGAAGGAAGGCCCTGTCTGCTAAAGAATCCACAAATGTCCCTATAAATTGTATGTTCTGAATGGGTATCAGTGTGGATTTTTCCACATTCAACTGAAGACCCCAGTCTAAGAACAAGAAAAGCGTTTTTGCTGTGGCAGATGACTCCTCTTGGTATGTCCAACCCCTTGTTCAGCCAGTTGTCAAGGCACAAATACTATGACCACCTGATGATGCAGGTAGGCAGCCACCACAAAGAGAACCTTTTGAAACACCAACAGAGCTAAGGAGAGATCGAGCGGGAGCACCCGATACCGAATATGAACCTGGCCTACGACAAGATGCAGGAACCTTCTGAGAGACAGGTACATCACTATATGGAACTGTGCATCTTGAAGGTCAATGGCTGAAAACCAAACCCCGGAAGTTAAAGAAGGAATTATAGCTTCCCACATCACCATCCTGAACTTTTTAGGTTTCACAAATTTGTTTATGAGCCTTAGATTTACGATGCGTCTCCACCCTCTGTTTTTCTTTGGTTCAAGGAAATACCATTAATAGAAGCCTCTCCCCCTGTGTTGAACAAGGCCCAGACTATCGTTCCTAAACAAAGAAGAATTTATTTCCTGTCCTAATAGGGACTTGTGAGAGGGATCCATGAAGGACAGAAGAGGGGAATGAGGGGGCGGGAGGGATGTAAAATGGGTGGTGCTGCCCGATATTACATCCAACATCCATTTGTCCAAGGTGATACACTCCTAGGCTTGTTGGAAATGAGAGAGTGTCTCCAAAGGGGGGAAATGGGGAAAACACTGAAGTTGACAAGCTAATGGAAGTCTGAGGTTTGAACCCTCAACCAGGTGGATGCGCAGATGCATCAGATAGGTTAGATCTTTTTCTCTGGAACCTGTGTCTTTCAAGAGGTTCCCTCAGCCTCTGAAACCGGAAGAACTGCATCACCTTTGAGCCATTTGTGAGCTAAACTTCCTTTTGCTTGTAGGAGTGTAGATACCTAACAAGTGTAATGTGGCCCTGGAATCCGTAAGGGTATGCAAAGAACTCATCGGTATTTTCCACCAACAGCTTCAGTCCATCAAATGGAAGCTCCACCACCATATTCTAGTCTTCTCTGGGGAAGCTGTAAGCATGAAGCCTTGTGCATCACCACTGCCGTAGAGCTCAAGGGGGCTACAGTATCTGCAGCACCCAGAGCTGCCTGAAGAGATGTCCTGGCCAGTAATTGTCTGTCAGCAATAGTGGCCTGCAATTGTTCCCTTTGGTTAGGAGGAAGGTGTTAAATCATCCAAATTTTGTATAGTTTATTGATGTATTCGTATTTTGCCTTCAGTACCCAGTAATTTGCAATATGGATCTGTAGGGTTGCTGATGAATAGGATTCTCTGCCCAGCAGGGCCAGGCACTTCTGGTCTCTGTCCTACGGGGAGGACTTATAACAATGTTGCTTGCCCCGTTCATTAACTGCATCAATCACCAAGCATTAGATGGAGGGTGGGAGAATAAGACCTCCGAGTCCTCTGACATGTGGGCATTACTGTAGCTGGGGTTTGTCAAATGGTTTTAGAAGGTTCCAGAAGAGCCTTGTTGAGAGGAAGGGCAATTCTGGATGTGTTGCGAAGTGCAGAGTATCCAGCAGCTTGTGTTTGGATTCTCTGACCTCCTCAACAAGCTATCTAAGGATTCTGTCACTCGCCTAACAAGATCCTGGAACTGCCAAAAGCCATCCACCATAGATGGAGGAGGCATTACAGATTCCTCTGGTGAAGATGGTACAAAATGGTATAAGGATTGGCTTCGTCTGACCTAGTTTCTTGGGATTCAAATGTTTCTTCCTCTTGCTGGACAAGAGACGCTCGAGTCTCCCTTTCATTCCGATGGGAGAGGGTTGGGGGCCTGGAAAACTGTGATAAAGCACTCAAGGATTCCAGTATCACCACTGAGGACCATATGGGGGAAGGGGTGACACCCAGGGTTGCTCCCACCAGGAGTTGAGGTCCTTGAGTATTGCTCCTACCACTCTGAGAAAGGAGGTCCATATATGGGTAACATAAGGGAACCCTGAACAGCAATCGATGCTGAAGGGAAATAATCATCCTCTTCTTTTATTGGTAGATATTCAACTGAAAAGGGGGTGATGGTACTGGAAATGTATAGAGCTCTGAAGACTGAGTGACTCAGTACCAAAAGGCACTCTGTAACCACCAGCAATGAGGAGACTGGTTCAGCAGTCACCGATAAGTCCTTTGTGTATCTAAAAATCTTGCAGCTCTGACTGATGTTGCGGTACCAAGTATTGTTGCAGCACCAACAGATCAGTATGCTCGTCCTTGCTAGTCAGTACCGATTGCTTAGGATGCTGATGTGGCTGGAGGCTTACATGGTACTGAAGAACTCCATGGGGGTATGGGGAAAGGAGTTAAGTCCAACAGTACTGTTCCTCTGTGTTTGGTCTGTCAATCTCCTGGAGACCGTACTGGGGCCTTCAGAGAACCATGCCTGGACTTAAACCTGATTTCCTGCTTACCAGCACTGGAGGATATTTTTGCCTCCATGGTACTGAGCCTCAAGGATGTAGTTTCTGAGACGGCTGACCTGGTGAGGGAATGAGATCTCTGAGGAGGGTTCTTTGGGAGGGGAATTAGCGCTCCTCTGCTTAGGATGTTTAGAAGAGGACTCTGAGGATCTCCCCTTTCTGGAAGAGTGTTGTGCCAAAGTTGAAGGGGCGCTAGAGGCCCCCAGGGAGTGATGTACATGGGAGTTCTTACCTGGCTCTGAATCAGGGTGAAGGGAATGCTTCACCATCAGTAGTCACAGCCTCCCTTCTCAGTTCTTCCAAACCCTACATTAGGGGGCTAAACAGAAGCTACACTTCTGAGGAACACGCGACTCTCCCAGGCAGCAAATGCACTTTGAGTGTCCGGCACTGATAGGGATAGCCTCCCTCTACATGAGGTGTAACATTTAAATCCCAGTAAACCAGTTATGCCCCACACTGGTAGGATTTCCCCAGAGGAAAAGAAAAAACTCCTCCCCTCCCCCCAAGAAACTACAAGCTATGATTACAAACTAAGAACTAACTAGCTAGCTAAATTGGGATAAACAAGCACTGCAAAAGCCAAGGCAAACACGCCAAGCTCCACCTCAGGTCAAGGTGGTGGAGAAGGAATTGAGGGCAGTTCACTCGCACAGCCTGATATACCCTCAGCACAAGACGAGGATATCAACGGCGCAGGCTGGACAGACAATACTAATGAAAATCTCCAATCAAAGGCACATGGGGCACAAGTGCACATGAAATGGAGCACCCATAGGGACACTTCTCAAAGATCAAGGCAATTTTGAATGATTCGTCCTGTTATCCAGACTCAGCTTCTGGCAATTGGAGGTTTAAGGGTACTCAATGAAGTGCTAGACAGTTGTTATTGAAGGACAATAAAAAGAATTACTACTCACTGCTTGGTTTGGAGAGTTGTCTGTTTTGAGTTCCTTGTGGTTGGAGAACTGAATGTAGATGGGCTGGCTTCGAAGGACTGGAGTGACTGTGGTGTAGTAACTTACCATGGTGTTGGCTGCTTCCTCGGTGTTCATTTCTATGAAAGCCTGCATAGGATCACAAATGTGACATGTCCCGGTTATTAGCAGAGATGCTTACGTTAAGGTGGCAATTTGAATGTTGGATGGTATCATGATGTGACCGATGGAAGGTCTGCTGTACAGGATATTAAGTGAGATTCAGGAAGATGTACAGTAGTAGTGTGTTCGGAGTGTGTTGACATGCAAGCTTTCAAGGCCACTTGCTTGTACAACAGAATTGCAAGAAGTTTTCAACTAAGTCTTGCTTTTAGAAGAGACAAACCATATTGAAAACAAGTGAGTTTTCACTATGCAGTTAAAAATACCAGCTTCATTTGCTTGGGTCTCATTTTTAGGACTTCAGATCACAATTTTTGGCAACAGATCTGTTATAAAAAACGGTTTGCAAAAGAATCTCAGTAATCAGACTGAAGAGATCATCAATTCTGACAGTGCCAAAAGTGTGACAGTGACACTAGCTCAGACTGAAGCGTTACCCCAGATTTCAGCCTACTTTCACTTTTTTTCTTTTGTAGATATAAATCAGGCCTTACTCTTGTGTATTTTAAATTTACAAGCTAAAATCTCCCACTTCTTAAAAATAGCATTTAAAAAACTGTAAACATTAACTGTGTTGCATGAAACCACATGAACTACGTATTAACATGTAACGTAGAACCTCACTAATTCTCTGCGAATCTTAAAATCTGCTTATTCTTATGATCTCATACTACTTCTAACAAAGATGCAAATGTGCTGCAGTGAGTTACTTTTATGATACACAGCATAAATGCAATTTATATACTATGAAATATCAAATCAAGAGAGCAACACTTTATTCTCTGATTTTTTTTTTTGCAAGTATAAAAGTATTTCATGGGATACAGTAACTGTAAAACGGTTTGCTTCTTTGCTTTCCAATTTATAATCCACAGTGGATTTCCTGGTCACCATGAATTAGTGCTAACATACTACATTGTCCAACTGGGGTTTACTCGTTACATTTTTAGGCCTCCTTTAACTTCAAAGGTTAGAAGTCCAAAGAGGCTACTGGGCCAGCATGACTAAGAGCTGGCTCACATCGGTCTTGTCTAAACTACTCTCCTACTTTGTATTTTACAATCAATTAGAATATAGAGAAGTGACTACATGCAAGCAGTGTTTGAAGCCCCTGAAGTCAGAAAAGGCGGTGTTTTTGAATAGCTCTTAAATTAAAATCATCTTGAAACAAAAAATGTATCTGGAACTTAGTAACTACTATCTGGCAGTTGTATTAGCAACATACATCTTATTTGCTGATGCCATGACAATGGTTTCAATCAAATCTCCCATAAAATCCCCACTTTCAATTGCTGGGACAGTACCTGATTTTTTCCTTTCAGCATTAGAAGATTGGTGACTTTGCCAAAAGGTAATCCCAAAGAAATGACTTCTGCCTCTGTGACGTCACTGGGGAGTTTACGGACGTGGATTACTCGCGAAGGGACCCCCGCACTTCTACTGTCACCTTTGAATTTTTTGCTGTCATTTCCATTAGCTGAAAAGAACGAACAAGCATTGTTGGTTGTTACAGTTCCAGTTGATCTGAGACAGGGCATCAGGTTACCACTTTGTCTTGCATTTTGCCTCCCACATTCAGTTTCCAACTCACCAAATTAAGAGAAATTCCAGGCTCTAAGGCAACCCAAATATGAAGACACATGGTTCTACTCATTTTTTCAAATTATATAAGTGAGCTGAGTGACATAGCAGCAATGGAATCACAAGTTAACTCTCAAGTGGCCATTTTACCATTTATGTTTACAGTATGTCACAGCCCATATTTCTACTCTAAGGTTTGAGACTCTTTCAGTCTGCTTTTTCCTTTTCACTTTGACTAGTATTATTGGTGGTGAAGCTGTTTTTGAGGGGGCTCGCGCCTTAAATAGGCAATATCAAACAGCAAACATATGGCAACTCTAGACTTCATCTTAGCTCAGCTGGATTCTGCATCAGCCGATTGCTAGCCATACATTGTTAGCAGTATACTAACATACACTAGATGATATAGCTTGGCAGAAAGGCCAGAAGTTAAGCAGAACATAAGATAACTCTGGAGGATTGTTAGCTCAAAGCTGCAGAATTTGAGGCAAATAAAGCAAACCATGAAATGCAGCATTCTGTACTCAAATACTAATGAGTTTATCTAGAGCAGGATTATGAACTCACCTCCATACTGCGCAAGACTGTTTCAATAATACCCATCATGGTGACTACATATGTCCGAAATCAACCAAAGGATCAATTTATGCTTAACGGCAGAGGTTTATTGTATGAACTGTGTGGTCTAATCCCTTAAAGGGCCATTTTAGCAGTTGTCCTGTGATACCAATTTTGTTCAAGCTGCTAGGCCTTTTAAGGATGTAGGACAGCAGCTAGTCAGATATTTTGTATGGTCTTACACAAACCCTAACCAGAACAAGCAGTGAGAATGAAAGCAGAGATTTTAAACCAAGAGCAAGTGGAATAAAGTAGCCCTGCTAATTGTACCTTCAACACTCATCGTGGGCTGCTATACTTTTTTGCTAGCAATTTTACCTGCAGAAGCAGAGTTGCTGCTCATGATAAAGGGTCCGTTAGTAACACAAGTAGAGAAAAGCTCGTCAGATCCCCGCTGGAAGAGAAAAAGATGGAAAAGGGTAAGTTGACAGCATTTTTCTAAATTCTATTCAGGTACTTTGAGAACAGGAGGACAATTCAGAAATTAAGATGGTAGAGAAACCAAGCAGAAGTGTGTAAGGGAAAATACTTTGACAGTAGATCTACTTGGCCTTTCATTCACCTGTATGTAATTTTAAGTCAGGCAAATGTGTACAGCTACATAAATTTGGTGGGGGGAGTAAAGTGTGAAGACCACCAGGAACAAAAACCTCTGGACTGCATACCTTCCTGAGCTATTAGGATAACAGGCACTGAAACTCTAGTGGCAGAATTACCTATACCAGACAAGATTTTCATCCACTCTTTAGTTTAAAAACACAACAATACTCCATTCACCCTGGCAGCAACATTAAACTAACCCACCCTTCCTAATATTTGCCTTAGGTTACAAAGAACGAGTCAAAAAGCTCTAAATATTACGGCTAGTTAAACCCTTACTTATAAGGTCTAAAACCACGCCATCTAAAAACGCTATTGCGTGACATTAAGTCACACACTATGTGAGGTGCTGCTAAACAAGACGTATTATGCATATTTTTCAGTGGCAAGGACAAGACGCAGATTACAAAGACAGATCAGGAACTGAAAATGCAATGTTACAAGTCTTTCCCCAGATAGTTTTTTGCCATTTATTTGATATTGTCCTATTATAAGCCTAAGGGATGTTTTATTTTATTAAATCATCTCCAGATATCCGAGTCCAAGTGTACACTTTCAGCAAAAAAGTATTGCAGCCATTTGTCTGCCATCTTACTTTTAAGTCCTTTAATTTGTATCTCAGGAGCTAGAGTCTGGAGAGTAACAAAGAGCACCCAAATCTCCATATAAAATAAGTGCCTGGAGAACTAGAATCAAACACTTGGATAACGTACAAGTTTAGTCTAATAAAAATGCTGAACAGACTAAACTCCTCGAAATACAAACAATATTTATTACCAAAGCACTGGGCCAGACTGTGATACCATCACTTTTCAGTGGGACTACTCAAGGCATAAGGTACTGTGCAATCAGCAGGGCTCCTTGTTGAGCAACTATCCAATGAACATAAAGGTAGCACAACCTGCAGCCTCTGAGTAACTCATTGTAAAGTTACATTTCTATATGGGACAACATGCACATTTCTTTCTAGAGCAGATTTTTAAAATCAGTTTGGATACAAACTATTGTTGCTTTCATTAACAGAAATTGTGTTTCTACCAGTGAGACTACATAGACAAACTTCTGATTGCTACTGTAAATTTAATGGAGACAGTTAAAAATTCCACATTTTTCACGGATCACAACTATGACAATTCTGACCCTTGACACTAATGCAATTACAATACTGAACAGTCTGGTACTTCTTTATCTCCCAATACCCTGCAATCGACAGTCAAAAGAACATCGCCAGAGAAACCAGACAGATCTGTGAAACAGTGGACAGTGACTGATGTAAGTATTCAACTGATTCAACCACCTAGTTTACTTCTATTGATCAAGGCCAATCTTAAACAGCATTAGCTGGTCATACTATTTTTACTATAAAGAAAAAAGCAAAACTGCATATAACCTCAAACTCATTAACTATCAGCCTGGCTTATACTCATATTGGTGTATGTAGTTTTAGAACAAGCTAATCATCTCCCTAATTTTAATTTAAGTTAGGGCTACACAGCAAAACAGTCTCAACACTGAAGTCTAAAAAAAAATTATACAGAAGATTTGAAAACTCAGAATAAGTAAGTTGGGTAGTACCAAAAAGGGCATTTTTTTAGCTGTAGGTCAATTTTTTTATCTTGATCCACACATGAAATTACTGCACAACAAAGACTTCCCCTGGTAACTGAGAACTTGGTTTATCTGCTTCTATAGTCTCTGCCTCAATCAAATGGGAAGTTGTTCTGTTTTCCAACATCTTGATGAAACCATACTCCCTTATCATCTCACACTCCAATTACTGGAAACAATCTCTCTTAACATGGCAGCTATCTAGTGACAATTGAAGGAGTAACAGTATCTGCGTAAAGATGAAAGCACTCTGCTCACTGCATCTGAGCAGGTTTACAAAAGTAGGTCAGACAAGAAGCTCAAAATGAACTGGAGTTATAGTCTAAATAAATTTTATCTATGTGTGTGTTGAATATCCCGTTGGGCGACTTGCTAACTACTTTCCAAAGCCAAATGCAATACTTTGGTGCACACCACAAGATAACTTGGGAACCTGATCTAGTTTGTGGTCTATGGGTCACTGGTCATCTGCAAAGCATTTGCTGGGGGTCTGTAGAGAGTGGAGTAGGCACACTACGTTGTCTCTCCTTGTTTCCTACCAATAAACGGCATTAAGAGAACTTCACTATTAAGATGCAGTCCATCTTGCGAAAGTTTGGGAACCCCTGAACTAAAGCAATTGGAACTGAAGTATTACACCATTTTAAATTTAGAGGTTTTTTTTGAAAAAAAATCTGAAAATAAACTTTCGTAAAACTTAAGATAAAGTTGTTCCATGACATTTAAAAAATCCCAGTAAATCTGTTCTCAGGAACATTCCTCTGCTGTACCTAAACACTGCAACATTGCTAGTGCATGAGAAACTAGGAGTCAAATTGCAGCTGGTTATTAACAAGTGCACGTAATTAGTCTCTTCTTATGTCCAAACCGTGAAATACAAGCTAAAGCAGCATAATCTTGGTTCACATTTCACTGTTTAAGTGTCCATCTACTATGGCATTCATAAGATATATATTTTTTTTAAATAAATAAAAATACTTTTGGTTGGAATTTTCAAAAGCTCCAAGGGAGGTTTGACTGCCTCACTCCCTCTTAAACACTTTTGCAAATCCCAGCTTTTAACCCAAGTATCTTTAAAAAAAAAAAAAATCACCATGATTGCTAAATTTTCTATTTAAAAGACCAGGCAAGGTTTTATGGATCAGAAGTCTCCAGTATCAAGCTGATCGCACGCAGAGATTGGTTCTGTTCACACAGTAGTAAGTCCTCATGATACATCTATAGAAACACTAGAAGAATAAGCCACTTATTTGTCCTCTGTGGGAGGTAAGTTTAGGAAACTATCGACTGGAAAAACAAACATTCGTACTATGGCAGAAAGAATTTGGCTCCTCCAAATCTGCCAGCCTGAAGGATGCTTTTGTAGTACTTTGAAGATTTACACCATTTTCTTCTTACACTTAAAAATATGTCAAGTGTATATAAGCATGAAATGCTTACTGCTGCTAGTTTTCCACACTTCAGGGTTTCTTTAATCAAAGTGTAACTTCACAAATCCACACCCCTCTTATCTTCAAGACATTCTAAATGCCTGCTGTGACAAGAGCCAGAAGGTAGAGGGGGAAGACTGTTTTACACCAAAAGAAGCAGCAGTCTATTTGTAAGCTTCCCAGCTGGAAATGTGAGCTAATGAAGAGGGAGAATTTAAGAGACTGGAAAACTACAATTACACTGTCTTGCCTACATGGGGAAATTTACAGAATTACTGTACCAGTATAACTTTGTGTATACACTCGTTCAGAATAACAGTAGCCTTTTTCAGTTTAGCACAAGCTATGCTATGCATAAGCTTCAAGTTGTACTAGTAATATTATTCCACAAAAAGCAACTTCAGGAAGCCAGCCAACCAATTTGGTGCTCTTTAAAGTCTCCTGCCATCAAAAAACACAAGGAAAGGTTCACCCATTTCTTAAGTTTTGGAACCAAGGAATGCAGTTTATATTTAAAGAGCCAGTATTAAGAATCACTCAATGCTGGATGTCTGAAGACTCAGAAGTCTACATGTGTTTTAAAAAACAAAATAACTAAAAAAGCTTAGTAAACTGATTCCCCTTTTACTTCCTGCTAGGGCTGTCAAGCGATTACAAAAAAATTGCATGATTAATCACGCTATTAAACAATAGAATACCATTTATTTAAATATTTTTGGATGTTTTCTACATTTTCAAATATATTGATTTCAATTAAAACAATACAAAGTGTACAGTGCTCACTTTATATTTTTATTACAAGTGTTTGCACTGTAAAAAACAAAAGAAAGTATTTTTCAATTCACCTTACACAAGTTCTGTAGTGCAATCTCTATCATGGAAATTGAACTTACAAACATATAATTATGTACAAAAAAACTGCAATCAAAAATAAAACAATGTAAAACTTTAGAGCCCACAAGTCCCAATCAATCCTACTTCTTGTTCAGTCAATTGCTCAGACAAACAAGTTTGTTTACACTTGCAGAACAGCCTTCCGAGGGAAACGGTGGGGGCGAAAGACCTCTCTGGCTTCAAGATTAGGCTAGATAAGTTTATGGAGGGAATGGTTTAATGGGATAACGTGATTTTAGTCAATTAGGTAATAAAGTGCCATCACTGGTAAAATGTGGGTCTGGCTAGAGAATCTTGCCTGTATGCTCGGGGTTCTACTGATCGCCATATTTGGGGTCGGGAAGGAATTTTCCTCCAGGGTAGATTGGCAGAGGCCCTGGAGGTTTTTCGCCTTCCTCCGCAGCATTGGGCAGGGGTCGCAAGCTGGAGGATTCTCTGCGACTTGAAGTCTTTAAATCACGATCTGGAGACTTCAACAGCTGAGTTAAGGGAAAGTGGGTGGGTCAGCTTTTGTGGCCTGCATCATGCGGGAGGTCAGACTAGATGACCATAATGGTCCCTTCTGACCTTTAAGTTTAAGTCTATGAGATAAGGTAATGCTGCCTGCTTGTTTACAATATCACCTGAAAGTGAGAAAAGGTGTTTATATCGCACTGTTGTAGCCGGCATCGCATCGCAAGATATTAAGAGGTGCTAAAGATTCATATGTTCCTGCATGCTTCATCCACCATTCCAGAAGACATGCGTCCATGCTGATGATGGGTTCTGCTCCATAACCATGCAAAGCAGTGTGAACGGACTCATATTCATTTTCATTATTTGAGTCAGATGCCACCAGCAGAAGGTTGATTTTCTTTTTTGG